AACCTATGGTGCGGGTCAACTTTCTGCATGACTTTTTCTTTTTCTTTTTTTTTTTTTTTTTTGCAGTCCATTGATTTTGTTGGGTGTTTTTTTCCCCAAGCTGTTAGCAAAATGATTTGGGGCTCATAAACTTTTCTCGAGGGTTCAACTACACATGTATTTGTATTGTTTTAAAAGGGGGATCAAGCTGTCTAGGCCAGGGGGAAAAACACCTTGATTTTATTTTTATTATTCTGTGACCTCTTTTCTTTCCTAACAGTAATATAGTTTGTGTTTCTTAGAGGAGGAACTGAGTTCATGTTTATAAATCACAGTATTTTTTTTTCCATAGCATAACTGGATGCAAAATAAAACCAAACAGGTGTTTAAACAATAAAACGAGTGCTAAATCGCAGTGATTTTTTTTCCCCTTCTAAATACAGTTTTATAAAAATCCTATTTTCAGAGTCTCTTTTGAGGGTGCATCAGGATTCTACCTCGAACATCAATATTTGAGCCACTCCTTCATTTTCTTGCTGTGAAACCTGGAAGGAACGGTTTCTCAGCTAAATGATGTGTACTGTAAAAAATAATATTAGCATGGAGGCACTTCACTTACACGCCACACGAGAACTTTTCCAGTCTCTTTTTCAAATTCTCTCTTGATACATAAGTCTTTTTAGTAGTTGTGGGCTCCTTTTCCTTACTTCTCTAAAGGGTTTGTGTGGTTGTCATGATACCTGTAAAAATTAATTTTTCACAGTCTTACTAACATTGGCAAAACTGACACGTCAAGGTGATAACCACATAGGGCAGTTATATTGAAACACTTATTTTGGGTGTTCAGTATGAATCCTCTGAGGTTCATTTAGCCTAAGATCACTGGTGCTGTCTGCATGGGAGTGTAGAAACTGCTTATGCAAAGGGCCAAGTCCTGCTCACTTGACTTCAGACATCCTATTATTTTAAATAGACCTCCTGTCATGAGTAAGCCAAGTCAGATTTGGCCCATCGTGTGTGACACATTCATCCTAAGACACGTATGCCTACACGTGCTTGTTCTGTGTGCGTGTGGATATGCACGTGTATGTGCATGTGTAGGGTTCCAGGTGAGAGGTGTGTGTATGTATGGATGGTACCCGTGTCTGATCAATGTGAAATGTTTGAAAGGATAAAAGTACAAATTATGTGTGACCGTACTGGATTTCAACCACTGTGTGAATGACTCCTTTAGATCCTAAAGAGAAATACATATTTTATCACCACTGAAAATAATCCAGCAATTTACATTCATGTTTGCTGAGGAACTTAGTCCAGCTCAGCAAAGTTAAACTGACCTTGGCTGTGAATTTGGAATTACTGAATTATAACCGATTCATTTTCCTTGGGCGCAGGGGGACCCAAAAAACACTTTTTCTTAATTAGACTGTATGTCTTGTGGTTGATGGAAAGGGGTCTTTAAGTCTATTATCCTTTTTCAGAGCTGTAGTGAAGCATGAATGAAATGCTGCAACCCAGAAGCGTGCGTGCTTATAGGAAATGCCTTTTTTGTTTGGATTGCGATGAGGATCCTGGTGCATTTCTTTTTCATAAATCAACTTTTTGTTTAGTAATACTAGTGTATGGTCTGCGCAGTTTCAGCTTACCCGTGCAGTCTCGCCCCCTTCACAGACACATAGTTGCACTTGGGAACATGTTCACGTGGCTGTCTGGAGCAGTCCTCTGATTAGTCGGTTTAAATCACAAGCCACTTCAGAGAAAGGTTTCTCCAAAGCTATTTTTTTTTTAAAGTAATTTGTTGTTACAGGACAAATGTTTTGTTGGTGCATGTTGTTATAGTTGTTCTCTGCTTTGCAGACCCTGTACTGTTTCTGGCAGGCCTACAGAGAAATCTGCATTTAGCTTTGGGGCTGTTTTTTCTGAAATTTTTACTGTACCGAGCTGTTGTTAGGATTAAAAATGTTTAATGTTTTGCAGTCACCAGGTGATAATTGGCTGGTGATTAGCATCTGTTTGCCTGGGTCCGTGAGGCTGGTCTAGGACCCTAGCCTGAGAAGTTCCTTATTTGCTCGTGCGTAGATTGTGTCCTGGGGGAGAGCGCGCATATGTGCGGCTTAGCTGTGCATCTCACGGGGATGCTGCTGACCCCACGTACCGAGCAATGACTGACACTGACCCTGTTATGTGCTGAGTCCCAGTGACATCAGCTCACAGGATTAGGCCCACCGAAGGGCTACTCTGGGCTTGGCAGTGCCATAAGAAATATATTCTAATTGGGATTTTTTTCCTCCCTTGTTCTGGAAAATGCCATAATTTGGTTTTAGTGTTAAAATATTAACGCAGGAGGGAAGGAGAGGTGTCACAGGCAATGTGGGATAACTCTTCCTCTTATTTGGCACGTAGAGACCGAGCTGGAATGTCAGAAATGAGTGACTATAGGGAAGTTTCCAGTTCCTGCTCCCAACTTTCTGGTTTCGGTACTAGAGACAGCAGCCACCTAGGAAATGGCCTTTGTCTCGCTCCATCTAGTTTCCCAATGCCCTATCGAGAGTGACTTAATAAGTAGGCTAACCCCAGGATGGGTGGGGGGGTGTGCGTGCACGCTTCTGCGCATGTGTTAACAGCCCTCAGTTCTGTCTTGCCTTTCCCCTCCCGCATTTCTTAGCATTACCTCTTCTTTCCGAACAACCTGAGGGTTACAGATTACCAGCAACCAGATACACGCAGGCTCTCATGCTTGCTTTCAAGCAGTTGCTGCGTGCTGTCTAGTCCATAACGTGAGCCCCCTGACTTATAGGCCGAGGACGCCAGCACCCGGCACCCCTGTGTGCTTTCTGAATCGTGGGCTCCCACGTGGGATTGCAGAAGGGACCAGCTAAGCCACGGCGCAGGGCCATGCTGAGCACTGCTGTTCACATTGACTCTCACGTGCGGCTCTGAATGGCTGTTGCCTGCATGACCATGTGCTTTAGGCACGTGGCAGTGCCCTGTGCAGACTGCTCAGCACAGCTTTTGCTAGAACGGCAGCAAGCGCACACACTGGGCTGTGTGTTCGTGCCATTACCAGCCTATAGTGAAATCGCCCTGAAATGGAAAAGTTGAGCTGCCTGGGCTGCATGTGCCAGGAAAATGCAGTCTGCAGAAGATATCCACAAAACTGCATGCTGGATCAGAAGGAAGATACAGAGTACGTTTTGGCGAATACAAAAATAGACTGTCACATAAGAAAAAATGCTGATGCCCCAGCCTTGTTAATACTAGCAGCAAGAACGCTGGATCTCCTCCTTCCACAGATTTCGCCTGCCTGTCCACTGTTAAACAGTTGTTATTTGTTTAATAAATTGCTGGATCACGGGAGAAAAAACAATCTACATTAACAGGGGTTACAAAGTTAAACCGTGAGAAGCAACTGTTGTGAGAGATGATTTGGAAACCTCAAAGGGCAAATTCTGCATTCCTCGCCCAGGGTGAGGCTTGCAAGACAAATGGGTTTACGTGTGTAAATGCTTTTCATTGGGAGGTGCACAAAGGGCCAAGCGTGACTTTTCTTGTGTTTAGGTATTTGGGGGCAGGGGCGGGAAGGGGGTCTGGGAGTAAGCCAAATGCACTGCAGCCCGTTTGAGTGCTGAATTTGCAGTGTGTTTTCCAGAGTTTTGCTGCCCCTCAAAGTGCTTGACTGAGTGATTGTCTAGTTGGGTTATTTGATTTTTAAGAAGCGAGCGTACCCTGAAGTCTTATCGCAAAACAATATGGTGTGGTTGAAAAAGGAGACCTCATGGGGAGCTATCTGTGAAGAAGACACTGATGGTGTTTGATTAGGTAGAGCTCCTAGTAAACACATTGTATGGTTGTAATCTGTTTTTGTTTGGAAGTAGAGGGGCAAAACGGGATAATGACAGCTAGCGTCTGCGCCCAATTCGTCACACTATGTCTCACGTGGTCCCATGGATGTCAGCGGGGTGGCTTTCAGCACACTACGCAGCTTGAGAAAGGGATTGTACCTTTTACCCCTAATTTGTCCCCTACTAACAAAATATGGAGGAATCTCTTCTCCTGTTACTCGTCTCTAGATTTTTTTTGTGGGGGGTCACTCTGTGTTTCTAGATATACCCAGAACAGATCCTGACATGATCAGAAGCTCAGCAGGTGGCTACTGGGGCATTGCTAGTGTGGCCCATTCAACAGGCATATTAAGCACTAAAATGACTTTCTTGGGAAAAGGTAGTTAAGAGTGATGCTGTAGTTGTAATGGTTCAGAAAATATGCACAAGACAAGAATTTCTTAGAGTGATATCTTTTATTGACCCAACTATGTAGTTGGGATAAAGTTAGACAGGCTTTTAAATGCAAGACATTCTTCGCCAGGTTTGTGACCATTTCACTTTTCTTGGCAGTTAAAAATGTAATTTTTTTTTTTTAACGCACATTCCAGAAAAGATCAAGTGATTAGAAACGTAGCATTTCAGCCAATTGATATTCAGACAGCTGTGTTTAAGATCTTTTCTTTTTTTTCCCTGGACAGTGGAAGTGTTGGAGGAACATTAAAAAAAACCCCAGTATTTCATATTCTGTGGCATTTACTTGCACAACTTACCCTTTGGATGTGTGTAATTTTGAGAAATTGTTGGTAAGATGCACCATTTCACAGCTAGAATGAATGTCATAGTCTCTGGGGCTGTAACTATAAGCCGGCAAAGTCAATGGGAATTGCCTACATAAAGCAAGGCCGAATCTGTCCTGGGAGGATTGGGATTGACATGAGTCAATGCAGGCAGGTGGGCCTCGTATATTGGTGGTTGTTTTTTTTTTCTCCTGTAGCTCTTCCTTGAACTTACTTGGCACCGAACTTTCACTAAGACTATCGAATGCCAAATTGGTACAAGTTATGCCGTTTTGCCACTTTTCATTTCCTGATAAACTGAAACCTGTCATGCAACTTTCAGCACTATTAAATCACCGCTGCTGTTGGTCTAGAGAGTTGCTCCCGCTGGTCCAAGCTGTGTTTGAACTAAAGGTTCCCAGTTTTACTCTGGTTTATGTATACATGCAATCCTTTTTTCATTCTGCTGTATTTTTCCATGGCCTCTGATTTCTTGTCCTAGGTACACCAGAACTGGTTTTGACCATAGGCAGATTAGGTAGCCCACTTCTGTTTAGATGACATTTTATGCAGTATTTAAAAGGCTGCTGAAATTGCAGCATTTGCTCATAGACAAACTTTATGAATTTAGGGCAGGGGGCGTTATTTAGGAGGAAAGAATCCCGGTCTCATTATGGCGTTAGAAAGCTCTGTTGGATCTCAGTACGTCGATGATTGGAACGAGAGTACAGATAATTACTGAGACAAAACTTGCCAGGTGCCTACAAATCAATGTGTTCCTTAGAGTAGTGTGCATTTGACACAAGCAGATGCCAGAATGAACCACACTGGTAACTCGGTGGTGACTAAACATCCTCTTAGAAAATGTAGGTACGTAAACAGACAGGGAGAAAAGTATGTTATTTGGCGGAGGTTTGTTGCTGATGGGGAATGGCAAAAAAACCACTTCTTTTCCAGTTAGCAGTCTCGGCCTGCTGTAAATCCTTTATTCTGAAACATGGCTGTGGACAGCAGGTCAGCGATTAAACAGGTCATTGCAAAACTAGTGGGTACTCCTACTTTAATACACAAACAGATGAAGATGGCACTTTGTCCACCGCAAAATTCATTACTCTGTGTAGCAAGAATTGGACCTCGTGCTTTCTAAAGCACTTGGAAGCTCCCTTGCTGATCCAGTACCTGCACGTGAAAATGCCTGTATTTCCGGTAACCTGGTAACTCAGTAATCATGATGCAGATGAGAGCCCTAAAAACAAATATCAAATGCTGTCTAAACAGAATCCCACTAGCACCTGCTTTCAGGGCTTTGTTTTACACAAAGATTTTTAGCTCGTTTTTGAAAAAAAGGAACATGATGTGAAACGTGTTTCAAACAGAAAGCCTCTGCGTAAGTCGTGTGAAGGAGTAAAAACCAGTTAAGGACAATGACATTCCTGAAATAACAGCAGTTAATCTTCCAATAGCAGAATCTGCCACTGGCCGTCAAAGTATGTAACAGAGACCCAGCAGAAGAGGGGACGCTTGAAAAATAGAGGCAGGAACTTGGAATAGCTTGATCTTGAAGTCTGCAATATGGAGTCTCACAATTTTGCCTGATAACTTGGCAGGAGCTAATACGTATCTGGAAGAGGTAAATTTGGTTTCTAGCATGTGCTCACCAGTGAGAAGTATGGTGACCACGTCTGTGCACTTAGATTCTCGCTACTGCTAAGTGTGAGCTAAGCACTTTTAATCAGGAGTGGGAAACTATCGTATGGGGGGGGGGGTCATCATCAGACAATAGCATCCTCCCTTTTTCTTCCTGTCGCAAAGTAGCTATTACCAAAGCCTCACGGCTGTCAGAGCTCCAGCTGCTGCTCCGTGCAAGGAGAAACTTAGTAATTTGCAGAGGGTTTTTTTTTTTTAATCGTAAGTCTTGCTCTATTTTTTTTTCATAAAGCCCCAGCTCCTGGAGTCCTGTGATTATATAAGAATGCAGGCTTTCCTTTAAAAAATACAAATGCCTTATCTTTTACAGTCATAGAGAAAAATCTTGAAGAGGCTGAACCCACAGGGCTAGAATGTTCCCAACTCTTATTATTTTTAAACGTCTCGTTTTGCAGCCAACAGCATGACTACTTGGGGCCTGACTCATGGTTTTTCAATGCTTGAATTGGTAAAATTTGTGCGTGTTATTGGAGCTCTTACCCAGACCCACCTCCACACCCCATTACTTTCTCACGCTACTTAGCGAAAGGGGGAGTCCTTGCCGAGGAAAGTCGACAGGCTTTGCGGTGGCTTGCTACATCCTGACTCCCCTCTTGCAGCAAAACCCTCCCAGTTCCTTGGCAGGGGGTGCCTCATTGAGACTGCCCTGCTGTCCACCACATCCCGTTTAAATTTGGGGCTGCTTATCTCATGCGTATCATCTTATCAACAGTTGTGGTAACACAGGCAGGAAAGTGTCCAAGTGACCTTGTGTGCATGTATTGCCATTCATTCTTGTGGTATGCTTCAGCTGGTCCTCTCCCTTTCGTGTGACATCCTCTAACCAACATACATTTGCACTCAAATATCGGCATCTAGACAGGGCATGGGGGGTTAGGAGCATGGGACTTGAGAGGTGGGCTGGAAACTGTTGGGGACCAAAGAGGAAAACTAGATTGAGAGGGAGTAGAAATGGAGGGATGATTTGTTTTCCTGTTGGCTTTGCAAAGTTGTGCAATTTAAGAATTGGATTAACCTGATATGACTTTGTTTGGCTGCCAGATTAGATATGTTGAGTTTCTTGGCATTGTGCATTGTACAGTACACTGTGTGCCGTCAATCTGGGTGTGTCGGTATAATGCCTTAATGACACGACAGTCTTGCAGCATAATATAACGCATCAGCACAACACCAGGCAGGTTTCTCCCCCGCTCTTGTTAGGGCAGTTAAAAGCTTGTTATAGCCCCTTTGTACCCTATTTCCTACAAGCCATTACTATATTTCCATCAAGTCACTCCAAGTCCAGCTTTTGTAGCTGAGCCCTTGTTTGACATAAAAATCCTATGGAGCAGCATCATAAAGGGGCACACAAAATCACGTGTCAACAGGGAAGATTGCTATATGAAGGGTAACGCGTTGAATGACATTCAGACCCATCTGTGTTTCAACATAAACACACCATTTATGGAGCAGGTGCAGTGCTTTTTGGTTTTCTTTTAACTAAGTCAGTGCCTGAAGGGTAACTTCAGAAACCTAAAATCAGGTCCAGATTTAAAGAGACTTTGAGTGCCAGCCTCACTGCACTCTGACAGGGCCATCTGGTGAAGCAAAATTTTCACGTTTAAAAGTACATATTCTTTCCCCCCCCCACCAGCTGCACACTGGAATTATTTTAACTCGGTGCATCCATATGTTTCCCGTTAGGGTGGTCCTGGCTTCATGCAGCACCCCTTAAGTCACAGGTATGTGTCCAAGTAGGGCCTTTTGCTATACCTTAAGTAGCAAGAGAGCTGCAGCTTTGCAAAGCCCTAGTGTAGGCAAGATTAAGTTGCTAGAAGAGGCTCAGTACAGAAGTTTCAGCCCTGGAAGAGTGGAGCTAAGGCGGCTTCAAGGCATCATTTCCACATTTCATTTCTGGGCTGCACCAGGGATTAGAACAGGCCCCAGCATATAAGACTGCCCCGGGGGGGGGGCTGCCCAACTATGGCAGCTGGCCAGGTCTCCATGGTGGTATGTGCTATGGCTGCATCCCAACATGCCCATCCTATCTCAAATCATGTTCCCTACCGTGAGGCTTGCAAGTGGGTCCTCCAAAGGTGGCTTCTCTTTCAGGAGAACCTCGCACTCAGAACAAAAGGTAAATGCATCGATTAAAAAAATAAATAAAAAAGCAAGGTCAACTTAAATCTTTGTTGTGTTGTCCCATTTTAATCTTAGCTGCAAGGCAGGAACAGCCAAGCTACCCTTAAAGATGAGCTCAGCACCCCCGTTCTGTTGCAGATTTTCACAAAGCAGCCCCTGAAGTTGGGTGCCCATACTTGGTTGATGGCTTGGCACCCTTGGGCACTCCCTGTCCCTGGAGCGACTGGGGAACATGGGTTTCAAAAAGCAAGAGTCCTAAATCTAGAGCACCCAACAACAAGGGTCACTCTTGGGGGGCAGAAGAAAAAGCTGACCTTGATGTTGTACAGGGTCCTTACTGCTTTTTTTCCTAGGTTAGGAAACTTTTTAAAGACCATGCACACGCATTCAGTTCCATTGGCCGTCATGTTGTTGAAACCCTTGTTAACCACTACCCACCCTGGTTGCTTCGGCTGTTGTACATATTACAGGTCTGAGTTCAGACACCAAGGCAACCTGGAGAGCAAGGGCCAGAACTGGGAACCTGCAGCTGGTTTCAGAGATGATAGGGAAAGAGGACACTTCCTTGCATGAGCCATGCTGTGAGGCAAGGGTACCTGCAGCCAACCTGCTTCCTCCTCCTCATTGCGTGCAGGCTGGGCAGATCCAGACTCTAATCCGGCAAGAGCAGCTTCCTGCATGCAGAAGTCCTGAAACCTGGCCTCGGGTTTGAAATCCGTTGTAATATTTTACATTAGGCGGTGATTGACTGAAAACGTGACGTTCACCGCAGCAGAGGGGGACTTGAACCCAGGACCCCTCCCCCTTTCCAGGGGGACCAACGTCGCTAGGCTGCAGGGCCAGCTTCCTACTTGCTTGCTCCGCTTCTGGCCCCAAGTCCTTGCGTTCCTGGCTGTAGTTGCACAGTTTTGGAAGAGTCACAGGGGTGACGGTCATTCCTAGTCCAAGGGTGCATCCCTCAAGTGTCTGGTCATCACCGGCAGAGTTGGATAAACTTAACAGTGTTTTAAAAGCAGAGTTCCTTAAGGAGAAAACCTGCTGGTTGGACAGGAATTTAATAACAGATGTTGAACTTTAGGGAACTTTCAGTTCCAGATTTTTTTAACTGATTTTTTTTTTTTTAAAGGACACATTAAAAATGAGCTTCATTATATACAGGTATATATACAAATGTATCTTCAGCTATATGGACTTTATCTGAGTGCATGCACGCATACACACTTGGATGAAGTCAACAGTTTCTATTTAAACCACATGAGCAACTTGTTTGAGTAAGGCTTGCTAGATCAGGGCATTTATGCAGTCAGCTGAATTACAAGATGAATAAAATGTGAAAACAAGGCAGTAACTTTGAACTCTTCAGGCCCCATCTTGCAACCGTGCAGTAACGGTTTGAGCTTTTAATGGACAGCTATATACGTCTCTGTGTAAAAGCATCTGTTTTTGTATCACATGAATCATGTATGACTAAGCTGATGCTAGTTCTGCAGTTGCTTGGTCACCTTGATTTGTCTCAAAAAACCAATGTTTTCAACACCAAGACCTTTATGGTAAAGTTTACTGAGTTAGAAATAGAGGATTCCAATGAGCGTGGCTTTTTCAATTCTTTTTTTTACAATGCCTGCAAGCAGACAGGGAAGGTATAAGTGCACTCACTTAAGAAAAGAGAGGGAATCAGACAGGTGGGAAGGGATTATCCAATACAAGGGAGAGGACCAGAGGTGTCATTGCCCCCCTGTGCGCACCTCTCTCTCTCCACTTTCAAGGGCTGCAGCACGTGGCTTGATTATCATCTTATTTCTAGAGTGAGTAAGCAGATGGCATTTTCATTCTGGGCCCCGACTACTGGTTCGTCCTTCACCAGTCTTATCTGCAGCAGAGCTTTATTTTTGAGGTCACGTGTTTGGAGGCTTTGTGTTTTGTTTCACCCGGTGACGTGCTCTTGAGCATAGGAGAGTGAAGCAGTCGCATGCACCTCCCTGGTGCAGGCTATGGCAGCTGCTGCTTCTCCGTGGGGCAGTTACTTGAAAGCGATTCCATGTTGCAACATCGTTTCATCCCGAGTGTTTTGAAGACACGGCACTTTCAGGCAAATTCTGCTGGCCTGATCTGCGAATGGTCCCACATGTCTCTATCGAGGAGGGGTGGCGCTATAAGGCCAGCAGCATCGCCATCAGATCTGGTCTTTAAAAAGTTTCCGAACCTAGGAAAAAAAGCGGTAAGGACCCGGTACAATATGAAGGTCAGCTTTTTCTGATGGCCATCTGCATAAGGCCTTAGAGAATATGGCCCACCTGCCAATGCTCACTTTTATTATTCTTATACCGGGCAATCGATCCAAGCTCCAGTTGACTTGGGGTGCTGAGGACAGCCTTCATCTTCTGGGTGGGCGCTCAGCAACTTCCAGGATTGAGCCCACAGTCTGTCCACTCCTAGAAGGTGCTTGAGCATCCTAAACCATTGATGGTTTCTACTGCTTTTCAAGGAATGAGTCCTGCGTGATAGTTTGAAGAGCCAACTCCTAGGATATGCTGCTCTTCTGTAGCTGGTGGGTGGCGGTGCTTAGCCCCTTGCAGAAGGTGTTCAGCACTTCATAGGATTGAAGCCTCATTCATTTCGAGCAACGTCCATGCTAACGTTCAAGCCAACCCCTCAACCATTGCAAAAGCACCTCTCCTTTCTCTGCAGCCCTTCAGGACGTAGCCTCTGGCTCGTTCCTCCCTGCCTTCTCACGTTTTTCCAGAGCTGCTGGTGTGTACAGGCTGAAGATCACATTTAACCAGCACAGGGAAATCAGCTTGGCCTGACTGACTCCTCCGTCACGTGGCTGAAAATGTGTTCCCTCTGTTCTGCCAGGCTGTGGCTAGCTGAGCAAAATACAGCAAAGCACTGGGCTTTGGGCCAAACTTTTTATTTCTGCTTGGAGCACACAATCACATATTTGCTGTTTGGCAGGACATCCATACTGGGGTATATTTGGATAGTAAGCTGGCATTGTTTTGCTGCTTTTTTTAATGTATGCAGGTAATATAGCAACCCCGCTAAGGTTTGGCCTGTCTCCTCAAGGATTCCCAGCGTTCGCGCTGCATGCACTTGCCCAAAACCTATAAACATGACAGGGAAGAAATTAAAGCTCAGACTATTAAATCTCCCGCGTGGAAACTGAATTCCTGCATAGCCCTGCTCCTTGCCCCCAATGTACCGATAACACAGCTATGTTGTTGCTCTTTCTGAGATCAAAAGCTTCTCCAGGATTGATTGAAGTCCAATTATGGAAGGAAATAGCATTGTTGGAACGCTGAAAATAGCAAGAATTGTTAAAGTAATAACGTCTGTCTCCGTAATCTTTAAAACTTCTTTCTTTTTAAGTGTGCTATGAGTTTTGCTTTGTTTTTGGTTTTTTCCAGCCTGAAGTGGAAACCACAGATTGTCAGTGCAAATACTAGTAAACCCCTTGGGGGTGGGGGGGGATAGGAGCGTGCGGTTAGAAGAACAAGTATCCATCTCTGGCGCTGGGATTTAAGTGCTCTCCTCCACCCCTCGCTTGCCTTCCTCGGAAGCTGTTTGCATGCAGTCTGACTCACGCACAAAAATAAAGCTGGATTTGATTTTAACAGTCTAGGAGGCTTTGGGTTCCTGGGGATAACGGCTTTTATGATGCAAACGCATTTATTTCTCTGGGGAAAAAAAATGCGTTTTTTTCAGAATTGAATGTCTTTTGGAAATCTGACATTGTTGGATGCCTCAACATTTCTGATGGTACCACTATACAAAAATACTATGCAGCGTTCAAAATCGCTGAAGAAGGGCTTAACTTTGTTCAAAGTTGTAGTAGTGCAGGCTGTTACTGCAGAATATGCATTGTTTTCTAAAGGGCTATGTCTCCATAAATATACTTTTACTCTTTTTTTTTTTTTTAAATACATAGAATTTATGTGGAAAACTTTTATTCATTTTACTGGACCTGTAAGTTGTGTCTGAACAAATAGCTTTTGGCAATATTTGAAATACCGTTCCCACAACGGCCATCTGGCTTTCCTTCCAAAATCTGGAAACGGTTCCTTAACACATGTACTAGGCAGCTTCATTAGTTTCTCGGGTGCACTGCAATGGCCAGAAGAGCATTGGCTCGGATCCTCAGCCAGTGTAAAGTGGAAAAATTTCCACTGAAGTAGATGAAGCCACAGTGATTTAGGATTTGCCTCTAAAGTGAAAAGGAGCTATGGTAGCTCATCTACCTATCGGCATCTTTGGGAAATGCACTTCCAAATAATTAGGTGTCGGTTCAAATACTGTGTCGAGGTTTCTTGCTAGCAAATGCCCAAGACGTACAGTACCTGCATACCTCCTCCTCTTGATTTATAGTTTATTTGGTTGGATGAGAGTGCCTAGCAATTTGACTGTCATTTAGAGGCAATTGAGGTGCGAGTTTACATAAAAGATTAGTAACTCCTAGGCTGGGGCAGGCAATTATTTTGGGCAGAGGGCCACCTACTGAGTTTTGGCAAGCCATCAAGGGCCACATGACAGGCAGCCCAGGGCGGATGAATATTAATTTTCTAAATTTTTCAGGGGCCCTGCAGCCCGGATAGACTAACCTGGTGGGCCGCATTTTGCTCACCTCTGTCCTAGGCTGATTCAAGGCCTGTAGAAATCCATGGAAAGCCTAACTGGACTTCAGAAGGCTTTGGACCAGGCCCCGATACAAAGGCTGGGCTAGATGAACCCGTCTGTACGCTTTTGTTGTGAAACCGGGCGGGGAAACCCAACAAGTTAAATTCTAAAGCTTATTCCCTCTTCATTAAGGCCAATATGTGTTGATACGGAGGAATTACTAGTTCAGTTAAGCCCAGTTTAAAAAGGGTTGGGGGAAGGGAACTATGCTAGGCATCCTTGGAATTGCCTTCCCTGAGCTAGGATGTAGATAAGCCCATGATTCTGCATTTGGGTGTTTTGTCCCACCAAAACTGTTCCTAGGTCCACTAGACATGCCCTGTGGCCTGACCCATATCTTAGCTAAGCTCCCCTTCCCCCGGTCTCTTCGCAGTCTCTTCCTTGGCCATGTCAACGATGCATCCACATGTATTACATGATTCACTTGAGTGGTCACGACCGAATAGGAAAGCAGGATTGGGTGCCATCCATTTTCTTTTCAAGTCTTGCATGCCTGTGCTCGGGCTGGCTGGCTTGGGCGTGTGACCTAGTTCGCTCTGCAGAGCAGGAGGTGGCTTGGAGGGCTCTAATCATCTTTGATCTGATTATACTGGCTTGAACAACTTGTATTAAAATTGTGTTCCTTCATGTGGATTTTTTTTTTTTTTTTAAACATAGCTGAATTAAGAAACTAAACAGCAGATTCCAGCATGATGTCACCTGCCTCACTTAAGGGCCTGGGCCAGAGCCTTCTAAGGTAAAAGGAAAGATTGTCAATGACTAAAAAGGGCTTTGGATCATGCTTCAGAGCATCAGTTCTAACATCTGAGAACCAGCCCGCGCTCTCTTGTTGAGAGTGCTGGTAGTGCCAACCATGCACGCAAAGCACCATGAACCAGGGCCCCACACCTGCTCTGGGAAGCAGTGAGCCTTGCCTGTCTTCATCTCTGAAAGAAAGCAAAGCCATCAAGGGGACTCAATCCATAGAAATCCCTGCACCCATTTTAACGTCCCCCACCCCCCCGCATGCAAACTTTGTTTTTGGCTCATGTTAAATTTTAATGCACTAAGGTCTGAGTCGCATAGGGCAGCAAGAGCAGGGTTTCATCTTCACAGATGTTTGCATGGCAAACCACCAGCAAAAAATTGGGCCCTTCGTGTCGGTGTGGACTGCTGAAAATTGATTAACGCAAAATGGTTAATTACTTTAGAAAATCATGACATTATACAGTAGGGGTGTGCAAAACGGGCCATATTTCATTCGGATTTGGATTCGGCCCAAATCGGGGACAGTGATTCAATTAATTGATTCAGATCGCTGTCCCTGATTCAATTCAGCCGAATCCGAAAGTGAAGATTTGATGCTGATTCAGAGAATCAACAATTCAGCCATAGACACAGCTTTAAATGTTTTTTCTACGTACCTCGAGGTACCAGCGTGGCTACTGAACACTGATGCTGGGGTGCGTGGAGCATCTCGCAGCAGCATGGGGGTGGGGGGGGTCCCCTGCATGCTTAGCAGTGAACCTGGAAGCCGACCAGAAATACTTCCAGTCCACTTCCGGGTCTACCGTGGAGCGCATGGGGGGGCCCCCCAGCTTGGTGATTGGCCATGGGGGATATCCCAAGTGCCCCCCCCCAGACGCAGGAGGCACCAGTCACTGAGCGGGGGGGGGCGGACCCAGAAGTGGACTGGAAGTGCTTCTGGTCCACTTCTGGGTCTGCTGCTGAGCACGCTGGGGCCCCCCCGCGCTCCTGTGGGATGCTCCATGCGCCCCAGCATCGCAGCATTCATGAGCTGCCTGCTACCTAGAGGTACGTAGAGAAAACATTTAAAGCTGTCTGTATGTCTGAATCGCCAAATGTTTCCTATTCGATTCAGAGAGATTAAAGAGTCTCCTGATTCGATTTGGATTTGGAGATTCGGCCACCGAATCGGGCCAAATAGAATCGGGGTCTGAAGTTTCGCACAGCCCTATTGTACATAACGCTGCACTGAGCATGAGACTGTTTCATACAAGTTGAAGCAGAGATTTTGGAAATGGCTGGGCAAAGCTAATCAAAGCTCTTGAATTCTCACTTTTCATAAGACTCAGTTTTAGAACAGAGGAAATTTTAATTTCACTGTTTTAGTT